AAGATGTGGCTGAATTCCTGGGATGGCTACGCCTTGCCATGCACAGCCAGCTTTTTGAGGCAGTTCAGCAGGCTCCTCGTTGGGAGGCACGTTTTGAGGCCACAATCGAGGACTGGGGTTTGACTTGCTCGCCTATCGTCACGAGAGAAGAAAAGTCTGCCGGATGCACATTGCAGGAACTTGTTCACATGTGGCATGAACAACCTCCATACTGTCTAGGTCTCGTAGGCTCCGCAACCACCGTTTGCTTGCAGATCAACCGTTTTCCAGCACTTGGCATTCGATCTAAGACCTTGATTAGCTGGAATCGACAGCATGTCATGATGCCTTGCTATATGTCATCTTCCGGTAGGACAGTCAACTGGCTTGAGTATAAGGTGGTAGCAATTGCACTGCGCCGAGGCCTTGAACCGACAGCTGGCCACTATCAATGTCTTTTGCAGACAGGAGGTGGCAGATTCCTTTGTGATGACGACCGTATTGCCATCTCTGTACCGCACTTACAGGCCATGGAGGAAGATGCCTATCTAGTGTGGTTGACGAACAGCCAACTTAACCGCTGCATATCGCACCGTGGTCAGCCGACCCAATCCTTTCGTGCCACTCTTTCGTGCTTAGATGCCAGTGCCGCCCGGGCATGCAGTCCTTGAGACCGCCGATTGATAGATAGCTGTCGATTGCTCGCCCAACACGGGCGGATTCGCTCTGCCGGTCGTGAATGAATGAATGAATATATTGCATTTATATATTTAAATTGACCGTATTCCAAATATAATTTTCAAAATTATATTTAAAAAATAATTACCTTAAAAACATATTTTAAAAGAAATCATTTATGAATATTACAACCCAATATATAGCATATTAAATCGAATATAGATTTAAATTTGCCTATATAGCGAAAATTAAAAATAAAATTCTATATAACAAATAATATTCACTAATATATGAATTGTATTGAAAATCTCTGCGATTAATTTTGTAATGCTAATATCCTTTCTCATATAAGGTCATAACGGTCCTTTTGCGACCACAATTTTATCTTTCACGAATATATATTATGTTCTTAATCCTTTTACGAGACCTCTTGTAATAGACATTATAGGCACACAAAAAGAAAAACACATAAATAAAAAACAAGATGGAGCCCACGAACCCGAATGCAAACACATACGTCAAACCACTGTGTATAAAAAGAGACACAGCCGGTGGGAATCTCTTTTTCACTCTCTGACACGTTGTTGGACATCATGCGCTGGGGACTCCACCACCAAGGCAGCATGCGCTGGGGACTTCACCACCATGCTCTGTCTTCATCATGAAGGATTTTTGTTTTGCATTCAAATCAAGCACTGGCGTAAAGGGTCTGGCAGATCCGCGGCACGAAAGAAACAATGGCATTGCCCCAAAATCTCGAAAATAAGCACTTGAAAATGATAACCGTCCACATAATACAGAGAAATCCACAATTGCGGCGTCTGATCTTCTTGTGAATAGGAGTGCAAGACCGTGCGTTGTTGTGGTTCGCCTGCATCGACAAGAAGTATATGAGACACACACACAACGGAAGTGAAGAAAAATATCCTATAGGTCATGTCATTAGGACACTCTTGTAGGACACTCTTGTGGGACACTCTTAGAAGACACTCTTGTGGAACACTCTTGTAGGACACTCTTGTGGGACACTCTTAGAAGACACTCTTGTGGAACACTCTTGTGAGACGCTCTTGTAGGACACTCTTGTGGGACATTCTTGTAGGACACTCTTGTGGGACACTCTTGTGAGACACTAT